ATTGGGGTTACCTAGCGGACGTAGATATCGAGTTCCCGACGAGCTCCATGACTATTCAAAGACTATCCTCCCGCGCCATCAAACGAAATTGTACAGATAACTGACTTGAGTACCGATCAAGTGGAAATGATGGGCAAACTAGGTATCACCAGTCTACCCAAAGTGCCTAAGCTTATACAGTCTCTACAAGAAAAGTCAGGATATTTTTTGCATTATCTGACCCTTCAGCTTTACATAAAATTTGGTGTGAAGGTGACTCACATTCATAGAGTGCTGCAATTTCGACAGTGTAAATGGATGGCCTCTTTTATACAGATGAACAATGAGCTAAGAAAGAAGGCTAGGAACATTTTTGAGGAAAATTTTTATAAGCTCATGATAAACTCATTTTTCGCCAAACGATGAAAAGCAAACAAAACAGAACAAAAATGAGTATAGTGCGTAACAAAACCGAGCTCAAACCGAGTGCAAAAGTTGTGCCAGAGCTCATTGAAGTCATTCCAAATTTTACACGAAGACCTTGCTACAATAACATTCAATCCGAGCTCAATCCGGTGGGATAAGCCAACGATCGTTGGCGCAGTAATATTAGACATTGCAAAAAGAATACATGTTCGAAACCCACTACGTGCAAATGAAGCAAACTTTAATCTCGAGCTTTTGTACTCCGATACTGATAGATTTATTTATATGATAAAATGTGACGATATATACGAGGAACTAAAAGAAATGGGACACTTGTTTGACTTCTCGAAATATCCCAAACAATCACCACTGTATAATGAAACCCACAAGAAACAGGTGCTAATGTTCAAGAACGAGATAGGTGGAGACTTGAAAGAAGAATTTGTAGCACTCAAACCGAAATTATATTCTCTTAAACTCAAATGTAAGTGGTAAAAATTAATCAAATTCCAAAAACCCAATGACAAAAAAAAATTAAATTTGGTTGGCACCTTTAATACCTTTCACAATTTTCTTTTTTTTTGCTTTTATGATAATTTGTAGTTTGCTTACATAAACAGAGCTCATTTTTAAAACTAATATCTGTTTTTTATTTGTTTTAGATAGGAGCAACAAAGTCTCAGCGAAAAGAATTTCTTGGTATGCACAAAAACAGCTGGCACATGATCGCTTTAAGGACGCCCTATTCAACCACAAAAATTTTCGAGTTAAAAAGACGAGCATCAGATCGAAAAAACACAAGCTATAAACTGTCAACATAAATAAATTAACGTTAACAGCTTTGGACACAAAGAGATTCCTCCTCGGTTACCTGGTAACCTGTTTACGTTTTGGTCACTTTTTGACTCGCGAAGATGAATTTAGTAACCCAATTTTACCCGAAGCCTTGGATGGTAGTTTAGAAAATAACCCTTGTTCTTCTTCGAACACCATTTTCGATAACTTTATTACACAGCCAATTCAAAGGGAAATAAATACTCGGACTGGTCACCGCCAGACCCAGGACTGTATAACAGAAGGAAATACACTAAGAAACTGTTTTTCGGCAAGACGATGGAAAGCAAACAAAACAGAACAAAAATGAGTATAGTGCGTAACAAAACCGAGCTCAAACCGAGTGCAAAAGTTGTGCCAGAGCTCATTGAAGTCATTCCAAATTTTACACGAAGACCTTGCTACAATAACATTCAATCCGAGCTCAATCCGGTGGGATAAGCCAACGATCGTTGGCGCAGTAATATTAGACATTGCAAAAAAAATACATGTTCGAAACCCACTACGTGCAAATGAAGCAAACTTTAATCTCGAGCTTTTGTACTCCGATACTGATAGATTTATTTATATGATAAAATGTGACGATATATACGAGGAACTAAAAGAAATGGGACACTTGTTTGACTTCTCGAAATATCCCAAACAATCACCACTGTATAATGAAACCCACAAGAAACAGGTGCTAATGTTCAAGGACGAGATAGGAGGAGACTTGATAGAAGAATTTGTAGCACTCAAACCGAAACTATATTCTCTTAAACTCAAACGTAAGTGGTAAAAATTAATCAAATTCCAAAAACCCAATGATAAAAAAAAATTAAATTTGGTTGGCACCTTTAATACCTTTCACAATTTTCTTTTTTTTTGCTTTTATGATAATTTGTAGTTTGCTTACATAAACAGAGCTCATTTTTAAAACTAATATCTGTTTTTTATTTGTTTTAGATAGGAGCACCAAAGTCTCACCGAAAGGAATCTCTTGGTATGCACAAAAACAGCTGGCACATGATCGCTTTAAGGACGCCCTATTCAACCACAAAAATTTTCGAGTTAAAAAGACGAGCATCAGATCGAAAAAACACAAGCTATAAACTGTCAACATAAATAAATTAGCGTTAACAGCTTTGGACACAAAGAGATTCCTCCTCGGTTACCTGGTAACCTGTTTACGTTTTGGTCACTTTTTGACTCGCGAAGATGAATTTAGTAACCCAATTTTACCCGAAGCCTTGGATGGTAGTTTAGAAAATAACCCTTGTTCTTCTTCGAACACCATTTTCGATAACTTTAATACACAGCCAATTCAAAGGGAAATAAATATTAATGACTCGGACTGGTCACCGCCAGACCCAGGACTGTATAACAGAAGGAAATACACTAAGAAAGAATTGCGTGAAGATTTGGCTGGCAGTTCTAAAACTGTAGATAAACCTTACCCAAACAATCCTTACATTGTGTTCGAGGCTCAAGAAGAACGTGACAATACTATGGCGGCTGACGGAAATAGCAGTGAATTAAATATTACCAGTTCGGATAGTGCAAATAACTTTCCAGTAATTGCCAAGAAAAGTAGAAGGGTTTTAAACCTCTCCCAATTAGACAATGATAAATTAACTAAAATAACTTTTTATATTTCATTTACCACACTCTGATTAATATTTTGCTTGTATTATTTGTAAAGCTTAGTTTGGAAAAAAAACCCATTCTCAAATTTATATTTCATTTGTAAAATAAGCTCATTTTAATTTGCATACTTACCACAATCACTAATAGACAATTTGCTTCTAAAATTTGTCCGGTGTAATTTGAGCAAATACCACTTGTCTTTGTTTCCAATTAAGTTCTACTCGCCGCTATAAATTCAATAAACAAACGCAACGGGAGAAGTTTGATTTAGCCAAGCAAAGTAATTCCAAACACCAAAATAGAATTCGAAGCGGGAAAGAAATGTTCCTGCAAAACTAAAGGGAAATGTTAGCGGTCAATGACGGCGGCAAAATATCATGCAATCTGAAGGAATGAAAGAAGGAAAAGAAACATAAATGTAAAAAGACTGAGAAAATGAATGTAAAAAACTAAGGATCCTAGTATAATTATCCGCCAGGGATCTAGAAATTTGCTACATGGGTATATGACTCTTGGTAAAATCTTCAGGGGGGAGGCCACCCAAAAAATTGGATCCTCAAGTGAGGATCTTGTAATCCACTAGCAAAATGCCGGTTGACTACAAGATAATTTTGGACACCTTAGGTGTCGGATCTTAGGCGCCCACGTCTTATTTTAGGTGATTTTGCCCCCCCCCCCCCTAAGGCCTTTCATACTACTAACTATGAAACAAAAAGGGTACTTTACAGCCTCTAAAATGGCAATACGAAACCTTTTTTTTGCAAGATCATCAGAAGTATTCTTATGATCTTGCTAGTTTGCCTCGCAGAAAGTGTAAAACATACACTGTGCCATACACTTGCTTAAACTTGAATAGTTAGTTCGCTTTAGTTTTCATAATAAACTTTTTGTGATCCTAAGTTCTGATCTTTTTCAGTTTCGATGTCAACTTATCTGTTTAAGACCACTCTTTAATCACAAAAAAATAACTAAACCTGACACAGTTTCTGAAAGTTAAAACCAAATATGGATGTTAGATTAATCAGGCAAAAAGGGCAGCTGAAAAAAATTCATAAAAAGAGTACCGAAACTTTAACCGCTTCATAGATACTGATGAAATTCCGTTTTTCTTAAATGAAAGAATCAAGACGAATTTGATTTCTCGAATTTCAATTAATTGGGAAATTTTAATAGGCCGGCTTTTGTTTTTTACATTTCAGATTATATGAGATCAAAAAATTTTAACCATTTCGAATAAATCAGTTTTTTGGCCTCTGGTCACAAAAAAAACTTTTGATTCCTATAGGAACAACAACCTAAAAATCTATTAAAACTTTAGATAACCGTACAAATGAATGTTTGTGTGGCAGAGATGTTTTTCATATGGAAGTGCACTGCGCTTCCGGATTGAAATAAATAGATTTTGAGGGTAAACTCATCTTTTTAATTTTTTTTAAATATAAATTTGTAATTGGAAAATTATTACTAACCGAATTTCTACTGGCTCAAAGCAAAATTAGAAAACTTTGAAAATTAACCACGAAAATAATACTAAAATCTTAGAATGTTTTTTTTACTCAGATGCACAAAAAATCATACGGTTTGTTCAAACTGTCGAAAACAAAGGCAATTTGAGTTAGTGGATAATAATTAGATTTTTCCATTGCAAGGAGAGTTCAAAAAAAGTTCTAAGAAAATACTTTTTGAAGAATTTATTTTGGTTTGGTACTTTACAGCCCCTAAAATGGCAATACTAAACCTTTTTTTCCGAAAACTCAATTGGCGAAGAAACCTTTGAGAATTTCTACAGAAAAGTGTAACTAAACCTTCAAACGATTCTTGTCAAAAACCAAAAGGAAAACAACAAAAAATTGAAAACTAGCAAAATGAGTGGTAGCTAAGTTGCCGATTCGTTTTCTAGAAATTATGAGTTTCTTGATATAAAATATTCTTATGATCTTGCCAGCTTGACTTGAAGAACACTTAAAATACACACTGTGCCTTTAAGTGTAGCAAACATTTTCCATTAAATGTAGCAAACATTAAAAGTTAGTTCGTTTTTTGGTATCTCTCAACTTAACTCTAACACGATAGATTAATGAAAGAACTAATAAATAGCCAAGGACAAAAACTAGCAAACGGGGGTGGTACTTGAACTAGAGAACCGCCCTCTAGAGATGCTGTTATATTTCGTTATGAAAAGTGGTCATATAATCTTTTCTCAAATTTGATTTGAAGAGCACTCATAACACGGGTTGTGTCACATTTGTTCAACTTAAACTAGCAAACTAGTGGATTTTGTTCATTTTTTGCTATCTTTTAACTTAAATCTAACACTTATTGTGAAAAAATTGTTATAAAAATCATAAGACGAAAAGTCGGATCCATCAACAGGTAACTAGTAATATTTACTGATAATAAGAAACCAATTAATTTTAGCGACTTGTACAACAAAATTGTTTAAGGCAAAAACTAAGAAAAAAAATTGATTTTGCGAAAACACAAAACAAAACGTCGGATTTTGTTCTTTAATTTTTGATGAATAAATTGGCAGTTTTGAAAGTTGAAAGGATTCTTTGATAATTTTGCGATAATCATTAATTTTATTTTTTTTTGCAAAAAAAATTGCTAAATTTTCCGTCTTTACGTCTACTGCTTATTTTTGTCGTCGTCGACATGATTCAAATACAAATTTTAAAGTTTTTCTTAAGTCTTCAACTAATATTATCTTCACATAATTTTTCTCAGAAACGGTTGATTGGTTAATAATAATCCAAAAATGCACTGCATCCATATTAAAGGTGTTTTGTTTTTTATCCCTAGAAAGGCGTAAGAACGCGGAAAGTTTCTGTAAGAGAGGTGTCTCCATATTCCACTCTTTGTGCACCAATGGTTACGTGAGCGGGTTTCCAAAAAATTTTCGCTTCAGGTCTTGCAATGGTTAGTTTCCCACCAATTATTTCATGTGCATCCGTTTTTTTTGTTTGAACATTTTTGCAGGGCAAAATTATCATTAGTCACCAAAAAATCCAAATTGTTTTAGTTATTCGGAACACACAACCATGACGAGAGGTTTGAAACCACTACTTCTAGAAGTATTATTCTTCTGTTTAATTTCAATTGCATTTCAATTCGACTGCCCCGCTACCATGGAAAAAGTAGAGGGGGCAGCAGAAGATAGCTGTTATAGTTTGCTAGATTTGGGCGGAATGGAGTACCCGATGGCGAGCTTGTATTGTCAGGTGTCAATTACTACAGGAGAGTGAATCCATTTAAAAAAAATTAAAAAGATTTTAAAACCAGAAAAGTGGAGTCTTTTAAAATAATAACGTTGTTGAAAGCATCAATGGCTGATTTCTTAAGCTTTTTGCTTATTTCAAAATGAGCGCTTGTTAATGAGAAACTGGCATAACATGAAAAAAGAACAAAACATATGAAAACCCCAAGTTTTTCATTATTTAAGTTGTTGCGTTTTTTGAAACTTTGAATTCTATTTTTTTTTTATTAGTTCTTTCATTTAAATGAATTAAGAATCAAGTGAAAACTGAATAAACAGAAAATGATGATTTAAATGGAATTCAATCTCATTCAGAGGTGGGAGCAGCACAGATTGTGATTCCGAAGAACGTTGGGGAGCTGCAGGTAGTCCTCACTGAACAGCAGTGCTTCATGTTTAACCTAGGCGTCGTAGTTATTGGCATACAAGCGAAAAAGCCAACAAAAAATTGTATTTAAAAAAGAACTTTTTGGGCCAAAATGGAACAAGAATTCACATATGAAAGCAAAAATGATGAATGAAAGCTGTCATTTTACTTTGTTTCAAGTTTTGATACTCAGATTAAAAAAAAACTATATATTTTTAGAATAAAAGCTTTTGAGAACACCAGCTTTGCACCAGATTTTCAATTGTGAAATTCATTTCGTCAACTGTCAAAACAACACAGTACAGTACCTAGAACGAGTCAGTTCATTTGGTTTAAAATATACAAAGGAAACAAGGTCACTTTTTCGTGGTTTTTTCTGAGACCATTTTTTGTATTAAAAACTAATTTTGAGTTGTTATTCACCTCATTTGCCGTGTCCAGCGAATGAAACGAGAGGATTTGTTAAGATAACAGTTTTGTAAGTGGACTTTTAAGTAGACGGTTCGCACAATTTTTTGAGTGCTTTTCACAAACCTATATGAACTTTGATTTCGATTCTTTGACTGGACATTATGAATGGTTCCCTAAAAACACGTAGGCGAACAATATACCAATGTCCTATGTGTCTATTTATTTTTTCTCGTTCAATCGTTTAGCCAATAAAAACTATACTTTATGTTAAAGCCGTACCAAAAATTATTTTTATTTCTGACCTGGAATACTTTATACCTAATCTAATCTTCTGGTCAGCTAAGCAGGGATTTTCTTAAAATTTTTTATTTCTCATCAAAAATTAGCTGAATCTAGGAAAAGTCTATGTGGAAAAAGTCTCCGGCTGGGTCTCAAACTCCCGACCTTCAATTTTCTGGGTGATTGTTCGAACCACTAGGCCACATCACCTGCTACTGTAGTAAGCTCTTTTTCCTTCGCGCCCCCCACCTGCAAAATTTTACAAATGAAAAATTTGTTCATATTGTCACATTACTCGATTGTTATGAAAATTGGCAAACGGACTAATAAGGCCGGCCTTGGCAAACATATTTGGTCTTTATAATTAACCTTGTAAAACCATTCGTTACACCATAACATTGATGCTGGTGTGAGGTGGGGGGGGGGAAGGAAAAAGAGCCATGTGGTATAGTTATAGCGACCTAATGCAAAGCAACACTTGTTATATTAAGTGTTAATTTGCATTGTACTGCTACGGCTATTGTGTATACTCGAAGCATGTTTATCTCGTTGCGGTTGAGCAGTAAACTTATTTCTGGTTATTTTTTTCCAGAGATTGTTTATTTCTAAACTAAGAAAGAAATGAAATAGATCATTTCTGTACAGAAAACACACGAAACTTGGCTAGGTATTTTATTTAACATTTCTATCTAGAAAGACAGCCTTCGCTGCGTACGGGAGGAACAAAAGGAGCTTTCACGCTCAGATAAATTACCCTGTTTTTCGGCTTGATTTTGAAGATATTTTTCCATATCAAAGGGATATGCGGATAATTCCAAGCAAAGTCCATTTCTTTAAATAAAATTGAAATACTTTTGCGGAGCAAACAAAAACAAACAAAAAATAGCACAACCTTCTGTAAATTATATAGTTTCACTCTGCTTGTGAATCTTTTTAACAGTTTGCTGCAAGTCATACGCAATTACCGACCAAGGCCCACTTTTTTTGTTAACAGGCACTAGTAAAGTTTGTTCTGTCCAAAGGCATTCCAACTGCAGGCCAGTCCGGCTTCTGGGTCAACTACCGAAGGGATGAACCAGCTCCCTTGGAGGATGACGGAAGTTTGTCAGCCAACAACTCAATGATACGAAAAGACCGATCGCAGTTCGTCGACCGAATCGAACTCAAGGCGAATTTATTCACTATTTGAACAAGCGCAGAGGGTCTCGTTTTTTATTCACATCCAAACGTAGATTGATAGCAAGAAACAGCCATTAATAATGGAATTATACTGACATCTCATTAGGAAAAATTATAATCTTTATAACTTTATTATAGATTATGTTGAAAAAACTACAGCTGCACATCCCTGGTCGATGGGTATTGAAATAATCGTTCTCAGATAGTTTTAGTTTTGATGGTCAATCACCATTTAAAAGTTAATAGGAACAACTCCCATCATAGAAAAGTAGCACATAAACACACAACACACGCACAAGCGCTGAAACTTGCCATAAAAAATCATACCAAAAACAGTATTTGCACAGTATTAGTTTTTTTTTGAAACTCGTAATTTTGCGATACACTTTCAAACTCATTTTTACCGCTTATATAGATTTTTCTCAGTATTGCCACTGCCTATCAAAAAATTATAGCCCCTCACGGCAAGGCGATGATTCTGCCATGTTTTTCAGATGAGTTTTTCGGATGAGTTACGCTTCAAAAGATATTCACTGAATGAATAATTTAGTTCAGAACATAAATGCGATAGAACGAATATTGCTAATTTTATTTGCACAATCGACTGGCTTACTTTTTTGTCTAGATTTTTCAGTGATGAGATAACTGAAAAAAAACGATACTTTCAATTTCTGTTCTGCAAAAAATTGTAAAGTTAGGCAATAAGCAAAGTATGGGATAAGTTGAAAATACCACCTAACGAGGTCAAATTGTGAAATACACTTTGAAACTCCGAAACTCCGATTTTGTGAATAGTAAGAGGATGCAGCAACCGGACATCAGATTTGACTCGGAATCTGCACCCTGGCTATCTTTTTTTAAAAAAATTCTAGCTGTTTTGGATTCTGCGAACAAATACCTGCAGCACTGTATTGCTCGAAATTGCTCCAAAAACAACTAACTTTGCTAAAATCGCAAAAAAATTTGCGAAACTCCAGATGGTTTGCCGAACCATTGTTTAAAGAAAAATATAATTCTGATCGAAAACTGCGCTGTCGTGGAATCCGTAATCATAACTGAAACCGCAACATTTCAAATTTATTTGTTTCAAAAAAAAAACGGTTCGAAAGAAACTACCAGCTTGCCACCTAGACTTTTCGACTTTTTAGTCCTGGTAACGCACCAATTAAGACCATCAGCAGTTCGGATAAAACTCCAATGAAAATCAGCATATCAGCAATTAGAATTATAGTCATCAAAACATTAATTAGGATATGAGTCACAGTCAGCAACTACCATAGAAGAAAAGTCACCATATCAGCTGTACTTAGAATAGAAATTCTTTAAAAAAACAAGTCTTCTAAAATTGGCATATCAGTTTCCGTTCTAAGTATATTCAGGTTGATTATCCAACAAAAACGTATTCTGTCTTGTAACTTTTAAAATTGAACAATTAACCAAAAAGCTGAAAAAAAAACAATTTTCGGAGTTTCAAAGTGTATTTTAGAATTAAAGCAGGTGCGTCATAGATTAGAGCTCATCAGTGTATTAAGATTTGTTATTGCATTCATTGACAATGGTTATGACCTTGCATTTAAATTCCGCACTGGCAAAAATATTACTTCTGAGTTTGTTTACATTTCCGAAGTCCAGAACAACTAGCTATATTCGCTCGCTGCGGAACCCGCGATAAAACTAATGTATTGACAACATTTAGTATACTAGTATTCAGTTTGCTAGTATTTGTGCACACAAATTTTGTTAGCAGAAACCATTTACATTTTGGAAAAAGTTTGAAGACTTGTTTCTGGTGTCCAATGACCTACACGCACCGAAGGGCGCACCTATCCAGTGCACATTGTGGCCTCATAATGCAAACTTAAGTAATTGTTTTTTAGCCACAAAACGCTTGATCTGTTTCAGGTGATGCCAGATGAGCTGTGGCGAGCTGAATCGCAGCCAGGAGACCAGACCGATGACAGAGACGAACAGTGCGTTGCCCAGAGTTACCCTGGAAACCCGTTCCATCAGGGGCTGGACGACTTCGCTTGTTCAGGATATGAATTGCATAATGCTCTTTGCGAAGTGAAGCTGGGGCCACCTCCAGCATAATGAAGAACTACAAATATAGTAAACTTCATCTCTGGTCGGTGTCGAGTCATCTGAAGGTGGAAATCGGACATGTTAGAAATCATTATGTGTTGGGTTAATATCTAATTCTGGAGATAATTTGATATTCTTTACTTCTTTGTTAGCATTGTATTCAAATTGAGTCTGATATAAATTCACAGGGATTTGAATATTTTTTTTCGAACGTTAAGAAAAATTCAATTTTTGAAGAAGGCGCATATTTCAAGTTCAACAGACAAGAACTATTAGTTTTTTAAACACTCCTTTCCTAAATTGACTCAAAAATTAAACTGAGCATTTAATATTAAATATTGAAAAATTGAACTATATCAAAAAATTTTCTAGCAAAATCTATTAGAGACCCATTAAGGCGCAGTCAGAGTGTTCACGGCTTTCTGACCTAAATAATCGAGCAATCATTGTTCCTTTTAAAATTCCATTTTTTTTCAATGCTCACGGCAACTTAGAATCATTTAGAAGCCTTATCAGCATAAATCGGAAAACTGCAAGAAACAAGAATCATTTTCTTGTCGGAGAACCGATCTTAGGGAATTTAAAAAGGTTGAAATCGCATTTTAAACTGAACTGAGATTATACAATCATGTTCCGACATCCTAATTTCATATTTTGGGACATATATGGAGTTTTAGAGGAAAAGTTAATCTAAAACGGACGTTTAAATTGCCTATTAATAAATTAAAAATTAAAAATAATGAATTTAAAAAATAAATTGTCTATTTAGTCTCGTTTTTATCGGTAGTCCCTTAGTCTGGACATTCAAGTCAAGCCTGTCCTAACCAATCCAGTGATTTAAACGTAAATCAGGCTTCTTTGCTCTCTAGCCTAACCTCTATAAAGTTCAATCCATCGGATTTTCAAAGACCATAGATTTATTGTGTTTTGGTTTTTTGATGGTGAAAAACTTATTGGAACCGATATCGTAAAGTATACTTCAGGTTAGGTGTCTTTATCTATACTTTTAGGGCAGTGTGACGAGTATTTGAGAAATATTGCCCGGAGATTGGAATTTATGAGGAGGTTTTGGTTGTTCCCTGCTGTATCTACATTCCAGATATTTTTTGTACTCTCGATTTTAGAGAAGAAAAGCCGTTAGCCCTTTTTTAGCCTAATTTTGCTGTAATTTTGTTCCAGTGAGCCATTTCTTTAAATTGCTCTTTTCGAAATCATTACTTTTTGTATACTGGATGAGTCCGAATCACTATGTTCTAATGGGCTTCAAATGATCATGAATGCTCGTACAAGCTGGAAAAAAAATGTTTTTTGAGAACATCCAGAAACCCTTTCTGAAACAAGAAATTTGAGTTAGGACCGATGTGGTTAACTCATAGAGTAATTTCGGATAGGTCACACCGTCTGCTCGTCACGCTATCTTACTTTCGGCCGGATAGATTCGTGCAACTTCTTGGTCTAATACCGATCCTAATCTTACTCTTATACTATCTAGTCTCAGGTTGTTTAACTAGTCTCTGCTAGGCTCAATAGATCTAGGGTATACTGGTTTATTGCGGCTGCTGAAGTTCTCTTGGAGAGGCAACTAATTTCTAAGTTAAATTCAAATCTCTCTGGTGCTGAAATTACAAGTAATTTCAGCACTTACAAATAAGTGGGTTGTTAGTTAGATGGATCATGATTGGTTAACATTAAATACTTTACAGTGGTAAAATATCTAATTTATCCAATCATAAAATATAGTTTAGATCAGGTTCCACCCATCCGGGTTTTACAGAGTTTTTTAGAATTATCTTTCTGCAATTCAAAGGATGGTTGATGGACGTTGGTATTTGGCGAACATCGTACTCTTGTCCGGTTTCTCTTGTTAGAGAAGTTCCAGGACGCTGGAATGAGGGGCATCAATCGTTGGGTCTTCTTATGACAACGATGGTGTTTCCCAATGAAATCAATCTGATTTCAGAATGGTTTGCTATGACGGGTTTTTTTTATGTAGAGAACTTCTTTTGTGTTCGACCTCGTCTGGGAATGGCGTGGAGATTGTGCGTGGAGGGGATGCCTTGTTACTCGGATCTGTACGTATACTTGAACATCGAGGTGGTCATTGGTCTAGTTCAATGAAGTCCTTTTCTGCGAAGTCAAGTCGTACTCTAAATCCTTTGAGTTGTGATTGTGGACGGCATATTGGTTGTGGTTGGCCATTCTTTTTCGAGTGTAGTGGGGTCATTTTGTCTTTGGATGTTCGTCTTTGGTGTTTTATGCTGATCTATATACTGCAAGGTATAATTTACATTTTATAAAATTTTTATTAGTTCAGTGTTTTAATTATGATTTTGGTTAGTTGTTTTCACAAAAGCATTTTGTTTTAGTTCGGTTATTTTGAAGAGTTACTCACCCTTGAGTACCTCTTATTAAAAATAGAAGTGTGGTCACAAAGCGTGGATGTAGCGCGGTGGGTTAGGCCGGCTATAGAGCATGCTCAGAACGTCCTCTCTGGTGGGTTAGGCCAGGAGTGGGAGTATGATTTCGTGCGGTTTCTCTGAGAGGTCCTGTTATGTGATAACGTTTTATGTCGGATTTGTGGTGGTTTTTCTTATGTTTCGTTGGTTGTGTCCTTTTTTTCAAAAATCAAATTGTTTTTGTTATGGGTTTGTCTTTCGACTTTTTTGTGTTTTATTATTTCTTTCTTAGACTTTATAATAGTCTTCAAAAGAATAAATTATCCAGTTTTAAACTGGGTTAATCCGGTTTGGGTACCGTTGGTTTTCTTTTCTTAGTCATGCTGTTATTCTATGTTTTGTGGTGTTTAGTAAGCTGCGTTGGTTAGTTTTGTTTAGTATAAAATTCCTTTCCAACCGGGTTAAAGGAAAGTTTGAAATTTGTTATCGTGTGTTAGAATTGTTGAGTGTGAAAACTTGAAATTGAAATTCATTATTTAAACAATTCTTCGTGGGCGAGCTGTGCGAGTTTGGATAGAATTCTTGTGCGAGTGAATGAAAATTTCAAAAGGTTAGTACTACATTTTCGTCTTATCAATTTACTACATAGAATTTCAATTTTACTGCTAGTTTTGTGGAAAAATTAAGTTACAAAATTTCATCATTATTAGAATTACTGCTTATGGGGAAACAATTTATAAATTAATTTACTACATTGGTATGAATTTTATTATATTTATCTAGTGCAAAATATTAATAGAGTTTAGAAGAATTCGAAGAAGTTTTTTATTTTTTCTTTTTCTTTTGTGTTTTTGCAGATGATCGTGGGATGAAGACTAAAAATCTAAATGAGACATGAATAAAGAATGGTTAGTTTTAATTTGAATTTATTAGTGAAGAATATGTATAATTTATACTTACCTGTTAGTCGTCGGGGAAAAAACGTGGGGGAAGATGTCGTGTATTATGTCGGAGTTTGTTAGTAATTTTGCTAGTATGCGAATGATGTTTTTAGTTTGAAGCAGTGGCCATAGCAATTGAAGTGCTTTAATAGTTTTTAGTTCTTCAGTGCCAACTGCAAACTCATAAGGTGTATTTTGAATGAGATTATATAATTTGTGATTGTATTTAGTTTTGTGGATGAATTCTAATATTGGGATTTCTATAGGTTGGATAAATTCATGTGGGATAAGGAAGGGTCTGGATTCGTCTGCGTTAAAGGTCTTCGTGATGGGACAAAATATATACATTTGGGTTATGGGATCATAATTGCGAAGAATACCGTGAAGGTTAGTATCTTTGATGCAATATGTGAAATTAAGAAAAAATGGTGAAGTGTATTTAGAGTTAAGAAACTGAAAACGGTGGTCTGGTTGTCTTGATCGAGTGTGTAGGTCAAAATGATTTTGAATGAAGCGATAATATGTATATGTGTGGGTTTGTTTAGTGCGTAACATAATGTCGTGTGAGCAGTGCAAATCGCGTTCATGTGGTGCAAGGAAATTGAAGGTTAGTGAAAATAATTGAAATCTTTCTTTAAAACTTTCGTAAGCTTGCATGTCGGTTAGTGCTTCAGAAATGACGTGGTCGAATTTGCGATCAAATATATTGAGTGTAAATACATATGGTGTTTTGATGAAGAATTTTTCTGTGATTTGTGGGTTAGCGAAGCGATCATCATCTAAAAATTGGTCTTGGTTAGCTCGGATGATGTTATGATCGTAATATTCTAGCGTATATTCGTTAGCTCGGGGTGCAGTGAATGTTTTTAGTGACTTTTTATATCCTATATAAGTAAATTGTCTATGTGTTAGTGGTGTGGTGAGTCGGTATAGCATATCTTGATTTCTTTCTATATTGATATGAGTATTAGGTAATGGTAGGCAAAGGGGATTAGTAAAATTATAATATGATGTCCAATGAAGTGTAGGCATTAAAACATGTTCATCTACAAAACTACGTGTGTCGTTAATGTCATGAGGAGTATATTGTGGAAATGAAGGTAAGGTGATTGCTAGAAAATCTTTCGTGTTAGTGTGATTTGGATGATTAATATATTCACGGGCTGTTCCTGGTTTTGTTGGAAATGGATGGTTTGGGAATTTTCTTTTGAAAGTGCGATAAGCTCTATTAGTGCTATTTGATGATTCGGTGGATGTGGATGATTGTGCTAATGATGCGGTATAAGCTGAAGAGGGTGTAGGGGTAGGTGGGTTTGATGATTCTATTGTGGAAGAAATCTGATTTATATTGGGGGTGTCAAAGTGTAATGGTTGTTGTTGTAGGGTGATAAAATTATCTAGTTCTTGGGAGATTTGGGGAATATCTGGAGAATTGGATGATCGGTCTGAATGAAATGAAGAGTAGGTTGGGGTGACTTGTGAAGCGTAAGAAGGTGTAGAAATGGATGGGAGTGGGTTATTTGGTGGGATTGGTTGAAAAGGGGGTGTTGAAAAAATTGAGGAGTTGGTTCGAAAATTATTGGATGGAGATGGTTCAGAGTCTGCAAATTCATCAGGGGTTTCAATATTAGGGTTATTGAGTTGTGAAATGGAGTATAAAACTGAAATATTTGAATTAGTGTCTGAATTCATGCCTGATGTTATATTACTAGTTGGGAAATCGGGTGGCGGGAAAGCAAAAAGTGGAATTATTGTAATTGGAGTGTTGAGGTTGGTTGGATGGGAATTTGAGCGGTGTAGGAATCCAAGTTGTCGGCTCATCGTGGGCTAAAAAAATTATTAT